TGCTTCTCTTCTTTTGGCTTTTATTGTTGCTTATTTGACCTACCTTACTGAATCTTCTTTATAGGCAAAGAATTTTATAATTGTTCGGATTTAAATGATTATTTCCAAAATGCTTAAGAGTACTAGAAAACAACTTCTTTCCCTGAAGTGTTTCTAAATATCTCTTTCCAATTGGCTATGTGGTGGTATATTCACACAATAAAATAATACACAGCCATTTAAAAGTACTGGCATTTTAAAATATTTAACTTATAATTTTAATGTAGAGCTATTCTTGAAATACACGTAAGTGGAAAAAAAGGTTGCAAAATAGGACAGGCAGTATGGGTCTACTTTTCATAAAAATATGTGTGTATTTATGGACATGGAAAAACAGAAGAGAAAACTGCAAAATATTATGCACTCGCTGAGTGCTGGGATTTGGGAGTGACTTCGTATTGTTGTGCTTTCACATACTTGCTAAATTCTTAACAATAAATATTTAATATACTAGAGTTTAAAAATTAATATTGCTTCCAAATGTTTTGTCTCATAAATATATTTAGTATCTTTAGTGTCAAATCATGAACCTGAAAATAAATTCACCAAATCAGCAGAAGTTATCTTTGGATCATGGGAATAAGAGTAATATATTTTCTGCACAATCTTCCACATTTTTCTTATAATAGAACTGTTTATAATTAGAAACAGGTTTTGAGAAGAAAACAGATTCAGTTCCTTCCCCTGCTCCATCACGGCTGGCTAGCTCCGAAAGGGCCTGATGTTAGTCATTAGCACCTCAGCGTGAAGTTGACGCCGCTTCCCCAGGGGGTTTACCTTCCCATTACGTTCTCTAATTAGGAGAAAACCTGAGTCCTAGAGGGCGCCCGGGCTAGCCCGCCTCCTGCAGCACCGGGTTTTCCTAAGTAACAATTTTATCCTCAAAGACGATCCCCTGCTCCTGCTCCACGCTGCCCGGCCAGAGACGCGGCTGTCTCTGCGGCTTCCTGCTCCCACGCACGCGAAGCTCACCTTCCTCTCCTGGTTCCCGAGGGCTCCGAGTGAGATGCCCGGAAAACACGCTCAGTCCGCACAGCCGCCATAAGAAAACCCAGAGCAGCCTCCAGCGGCCGCAGCAGTGAATTCCTCCTGACTCTTTTTCTTTATTCCAACCGTAGGCCCCATTTTTTTTTTTTTTTTTTTTCCACTTTTCTGGCTATTCATTTACCTCTGCGACAAGTTCCAGATGTTTCGGGGCCGACTCAATTTCAAAACTCCTGTCCCCTTATCTCCTTTTGTGCCCCTTTGCTGCTCTCAGGTCGTGCATCCTGATTCTTGGTGCAGAAGATGTGGTCACCGTGGGTGACCTCCTCGAATTATCTCTAATAACTTCTCTGGGTTCGTTTGTGCCAACTTAAATGCGAGCAGACTGGAGACAGAATACACAGGACTGGGGCATCGCTCCAGGCAGGGCACCTGCTTAGCGCTCCCAGGGCTTAGGTTTTAGGTCCAACACCAAAGCAAGGAAAGACATTACACACCCTGCATAATGCGCTCTACACACACACACACACACACACACACACACACACACACACAGAGTCAATTCTAGCTCCCAAATAAAGAAATGGATGGACCAGTACAGTCTCTTGGGAGAGAAGTAATACGATTTGCGCTCCGTACAGTGGCAACAGTAATTTGCTGAGTGCTGCCTGTGAAGGAGACATTGTGATGGTGCAGGCTTTACATACTTGAGCTCATGTATTCCTCAGAAGAAATCAGTCAGGGTACAGATGCGCACTTTCAGATTTAGGGATGTTCAGACAAAACACCAGGAGTCACGCCCTGGTATCTGTCTCCAAAACCCAAGCTCTTAACAAATAAGCCTTTCTCCCCTGCATGGAAGGGCTTGGGGGAGTCTGGGAAAGACTTCCTAAATCCCACTTAGCCAGTTCCAAAATAACCTTTGGATTGGCAGTCTTTTTAGGGTGTGGGGGGGGGGTGTGAACTCAGCCCAGCTTTCAGAGGGCAAAGCGACCTGGTATATACTACTAATTCTCCTTTTACAGGGGAGAAAAATAAGGCTCAATGAGATAAGACGATTTGCCACCAGCAGTAAACCTAAGGCCAATGCCCAGACACTGTGTTCTTTTGATGGTTCTTCTTTTCCTACATTCCAAAAGTCTTACCAGGAAAGAAAAAAAAAAAAAGTGTTTTTCTTGGCTCCAACATTAGAAAGAAGCTCTGTATGGCAGCTGAACTTTAAGGACATGCTTCACCATGTGGGGCTGCACGGTCTGGACAACCCAGGGCCACTCGTTTCCACCTCTTCCTACTTCTTTCTCCTTCAACTGCCTCAGTTCTTTAAAACCATTTGGGACAGTCTACATATGATTGCTCTAAAGTCAACCGTGCCTGCCACATCCACATAATACCTGAAGCCCTAGGACCGATTCCCCTGGAGGACAGACTCCATAATTGGGGGAACTCAAGTCAGGAGCAGGCAGGAGCACTCGGGTGGAGGACTGTATTCCTCATGAGTACGAGGAGGCACCAAGGCTCTGCTAGTTCTTTCCACACTTCATTTAGCATGGAGTGTTACAGTTCCTGCCTTCCTCCAAATAAATAGCTTTTTGCCTTTTGTGTGACAATACAAGTGCATAATGGGAAGATTAAAAACTGTTTAGTTAGCACATTCCATGTGCATGACAATGTTCTAGTTGTTTTGCACATATAAATGTATTAATCAATATTAGTTCATTCATTCAATCATTTGCAATATACTCAAACATTAATGCCCTGATGGGTTAGTGAAGTATTTAAAACTCTCTTGTGTTTTTTGTTTCTTTGCTCTTAGATCTTTCCCTTTTCCTATACCTTGCATTACTAATAGATTGCTAAATATTCACCTTCAGATTTCGGATTTTCTTCCTTTAATCCCCTACAGATTTAGAAGGATAAACCAATCATGATGAAATTATATGCAGAGAAAAGATGACTGTGCTGCAGTAAAAGTGCTGGAGTGCAGTATTCGAACAATAATACATGTGTGGGGCCCAGATAAAAATATACCTCATGCATCCATTTCATTCATTTATTTTACCTCTTTTGTTGGAATAATTTCAAGTTTACAGAAAAGTTGCAAGAATATTTCAAGAAATTTCTAATACCCGTCATAATTTTTTATTAACTTTCAGCCAGACGTATCCCAGTGAGTTCATGGGCTACAATTTCTCCAATTCACTGATATTTCAGAAGAGGGCAATATAAGGAACTTCTAGTTCATTGTGTATTTAAAATGTACAATAAGGGATGTGGAATGCCCCCAAATGCCTGTGCATTAAAGTTTGTTTCCTATGGTGGTACTATTGAAAGAAGAGGGAATATTTATGCTTTTAATCACTTATTTCTTTATTTGGTACAGGGTCTTGATACATAGTTCATACATATAGTGATCCCACTGTCTCAGCCTCCCCAGCTCTGGGATTATAGGTATGTGCCACCATGCCAGGACTCCGTGCTTGACTCAGCGCAGGGCCAGCACAGCATGTGATACCAGGAACTGAACTCAGGTCCTTGCACTTGCCAAGCAGGCTCTTAGACTGCCGAAGTATCTCCCCAGCCTCAGAAAATGGAATATTTAATAAGCCCAGCCTTATTCAAGGATCTGTCCTCACACCCCTGGGTCCTTCCCCTTATTTCTTTGGCCTCCTGGCAGTGAGGCGTTTATCCCACCATGTGCTCCCACCATGATGTGCTGCTTCGCCACAGCCCCAACCCAACTATCACTGCTTTACAGACTACACCTCAAAGCCATGCACTGAGCTCACCTGAATAACGCTGAGGTAAATCTTTTCTCTTAAAAATGGAATATCTCAAGGATTTTTCATAGTGCTAAAAAGCTGACTAATACATTTCACAATACATTGACTCAAAACCCACTGTCCAGAAATTGTAATAGTATCAGAAACAATATTCGTTCTCAATATTAATAAGGGATTCAAAACAAATTATGTTTGTTAGTAATCTATTGGCAAATATACTATCATATCACTGTGTAATAGTGATATGTATTTTTATGATAGGAATAAGATGTATTTGTATACTGCACATAAATGATTTCCAAGATATACTATAACCTGCAAGTGAAAAAAATTAGGGAAAAAATATAAATCTTTCTCTCCCTTCCTTTTCCTGTCCCTCTCCCTTTCCTTCTCTCTCTCCCTCCCCTCTTCACCCTGCAGTGTGAAAGCCTCTTGCCACCTTCTATATCTTGGACGTGCTCACCACATAGATCTGTAGCAGATCCCATCCAGACACTTCACATAGCTGGGTGTCTGAGAACTTAAACCATCTTCTTCTAAGCTGTTTACTGTCTACATTGCGTGACTGTAATTTTCATCATGTGCATTAGCAAAACTTTGCTATCCCAGGAGACTTTGGTACAGAAAGAGAAGAGCTACACATCACTGTAGTTTATCAAATGAGCCAGCAACTCTAGAGCTGATCAACTCTAAAACTGATATCCCAAGATTCTTTGAACTTCTCAGCTCGAATTTTGTACCTCAAATTTATTTTCACAAATCCTAAACAATAGTTTACTCACAGAATCCTAATCAAGGACCCACTCCAAAATATCCACCATACATCAGTGTTCAGATCTCAATGATTTGAACCTTGCCCTTCCTTCTGGCCGGCCTTTGCAGAGGCTACAAGGCAATATTCATCCCTACTGTGGGCTGTGACTGTGCCCTAACCTCCTGCAGGAGCTCTACACGCCCCAAAAAGAGACTTATGTTATAATGGTGTGAAAGAGGAGGAAACAACACTGCTGTGGTGTTTAGAAGAATGTCCTTTGGGAAGTGTCTAGACTAGATAATGTCCTTAGAGTGGAGATGCTGTACCTGAGCTATGGTGATTTTATACAAATAAGGGAGAGACACCCTAGATACAGACTCTCCCACCATGATGTGATGTAGCCCAGGAGACCCTCACCAGAGACTGTGACATGATGCTTGACACGTGCACCTCCAAAGTACACCTCTTTTCTTTATAAAGTCGCTTACCTCAGGATAAGAAGCTGCCATGCATGCAGGTGCACACCTGGAACCCCAGCTACTCAGAAGGCTAAGGTAGCATGATGACGAGTTGGAGCTCAGCCTGGAAAACTTAGGGAGACTTTGTCTCAAAATAAAACTCTTAGCAAGGGACAGGGATAGAGTGTGGTGCCAGAATACTTGCCCAGCACAAGTGAAGCCCTGCATCTAATCCTCAGGGCTGCAGAAACAATTTACTAAAAAACTATTGTTAATAGCCCAGTATTAAGCAATGCTTCCTTTTCGCCTTTATCTAAAGGTTGTTCTAGTAGAAATACAAGTTCTAACAATCTTGTATTTGACATTCTTGGAGGTGCCACTGGGACTTGCTCAGGACTAAGATGTTCTTTCCTCTGAGGTCAATGGCCTGGACCTGAAAACACACATGTCACTCGCACTTCTGGCCAAGCTCCCTGCCAGTGAAGATTGAGGGTGGGTAGCCCATCTGGGGTGAAACTCAGCCTGTTGTCCCTGAGCTCCCCATACATGAAATTTATTTTGTCTCCTGTAAGGAATCATTTTAAGAAACACTTTGATTACATAATCACACTTGGAAAGGGAACAGAAGTTCTTATTTTGGGTAGAAGTCTGCTCTACTAACAGCACTTGTATTATTCTATGTCCTTGTTATGCTATTGTGCAGCATTACGTGTCAGTTCATGGGAACAGGATCAGCCCAGATCTTAAAATGAACTCATTCACCAAGCCAGCCCTGTGACAAAGTTGCTTCAAAGGGTTGTTCTCAGATCAGTGACCTGGGGACATGCTTTGCCCTGAGTCACTTATCAAAACCTTAAGACACTTTTCCTCAGTCATGCCTTATTCTTGCATGAGAATCTAGTTCTTTCCCCAAAACCTTCCCACCCTTCCTGATACTACTTTGCTAGATTTATGGCTGCATTGAGCAGATGTCAGGGTTGTCCCTCCAAAATACAAAGGCAAAGGCAGCACCTTGGACCAACAGATGAGATGGCTCAGTGGAATAAGGCTTTCCCTGGCAAGTGCAAGGGCCTGAGTTCAATCCCTGATTCCACCAAAAAATAAAGAGATAAATAAAATAAAGTTACAGTAGCCAGTCTGTAAACCTATAATATGAAGAAAATTGTTTATCAGGCATTTTAGGTTTTTAAGAGATATTTTGTTTCAATTGTTACTTTTATTGGTATATATTTTCAGCACATAATGATTACATTCTTAGTGAGAAGTTGGCACTTGTCATGACACGTGTTAATTCTTTTCTTTTTATCCACTCCTTTCCTGCCCCCTTCCATCTCTGGGTCTCCTGCTCTTTTGCAAAAGATCTATATCCCTATTTTCTATCCTTTATTTTGCTTTTACTTGCATTGTAGATTTCTCATATAAGAAACAATGGATAGTGCCAGACCCACACCGAGCTACAGGCCACTGAAACCAGATGTGGTGGCGCATGCCTGCAAGCCCAGCACTGGGGAGTCTAAGACAGGAGTCTCACTAGCAGTCTGAGCTGCACAAGGAGACCCTGTACCAAATATATGAATAAAAGTATTTTTTAAAAAAGAAACAATGAATATTTAAGTGTGAGTGCCTGATTTATTTCACTTCACAGTGACGGGGGAGATGGCTCAGTAGAATAAGCACCTGCCTGGCAAGTACAAGGGCCTGAGTTCAATCCCCAGTTCTACAAAAAAAAAAAAAAAAAAATATTTCACTTAACATTATGACCTCGAAGTGTATACATTTTTCTTCAAATGACTCATGTGTCCTTCCTCATGGCAGAGTAGCACTCCACTGCACATGAATGCTGAAGTTTCTTTTATCCATTCATCTGTTGATGGACACGCAGCCTGCTTCCAAGATTCACCTATCACAAGTGGCACACCAAAATGTTTTAAAGATCAAACACCTAATGACCTATATTTCTTCATAGTGCAAGGAAGCACCTAAGAGAAATTCAGGTGCTCACTTCGGCAGCACATCTACTAAAATTGGAATGATACAGAGAAGATTATCATGGCCCCTGCACAAGAAAGACACGCAAATTCATGGAGTGGTCCATATTTTTTTCTCCCCCAGCAGGAGTCCTCTTTCTTCTGTCCTTTCAACTACAGCCAGCAGCAGCCAAGAGACAAACATCACCTCAGCCCTGACTACAACCTCACAACGATCCCTTCAGAGGACTTTTATTACAGAAGTTAAGAGACTTTTATTACAGAAGGCACAGCCAGCAGGGCCTTGTCCACCAATGGGGCCCTCTTTCTTTTGTCCCTCTGACTACAGCCAGAATCAGCCAGGTAACAAATATCACTCCAGCCATGAGCATAACCTCACAAAAGGCCTCTTCACACATTTTTACCACAGATGGCACAACCAGCAGGGCCTTCTCCACCAGCAGGACACCTCTTTCTTCTGTCCTTTCAACTATAGCCAGCAGCAACCAAGAGACAAACATTACCTCAGCCATGACTACAATTTTGCCAAAGTCCCCTTCCAAAGTTTTTACCATAGACAGGGCTTTTCACACCCACAGTCCTCTTTCTCCTGTCCATCTGACTATAACCCGCAGCAGCCAGGAGACAATCACTGCCTCAGTCATGACTACGACCTCACCAATGACCCTTTCAGAGATTTTTACCACAGATAGCACAATCAAGTTTTCCACACCAGCAGGTGTCCTCTTGCCACTATAGCCAGCAACAACCAAGAGACAATCATCACCACAGCCATGACCACAATTTCACCAAAGACCCAGAGGAAGCCCCTAATAGCTACATTCACCAGTTTGGACAAGTCAGTTGTCAGATGTTACTGCAGGTGCAGATGGAGGCTTTCTCCTCATGCAGCTGAAGGTAGCTTCTATAGAAGACATCACAGAGCCCACAAAGGCAGGAAGACTGCTGCAGCAGCTCCAGTGTGAACTCCAGAACCTCTTGAAGACTCTGAGCTCCCTTTCCTTACTGCATGTCCAAAGAAGCTGAAGAATGTTAGCTGCAGCCAGGCATGTCCCCTGTGCCAAAGAAGAATAGCCCTGCCAATGTCCTGATCCCATTGACAGACTACAGCTGCATTACTGTACTGACAGGGACCCAGAAGGTTCCCATGAAGGTCAGCTGGCCCAACCCCTCACCCAGAAGTGACTGCAGCATCCTGGCTCACATATGGAGAGGGGGCTTCTCCTGTGCCCAGCAGCATCTTTCACTTCCAGGGCTCATGCATTGTAGTCAATAAAGATAGACCGGATCCTCCAAAAAAAAAAA